CCGCCTTCCATCTGCACCCCACCTTCCAGTCTGTGACCCGCCTTCCATCTGCACCCCACCTTCCAGTCTGTGACCCACCTTCCGTCTGCACCCCGCCTTCCATCTGCACCCCGCCTTCCAGTCTGTGACCAGCCTTCCATCTGCACCCCACCTTCCAGTCTGTGACCCGCCTTCCATCTGCACCCCACCTTCCAGTCTGTGACCCACCTTCCGTCTGCACCCCACCTTCCATCTGCACCCCGCCTTCCAGTCTGTGACCTGCCTTCCATCTGCACCCCACCTTCCAGTCTGCACCCCGCCTTCCATCTGCACCCGCCTTCCAGTCTGTGACCAGCCTTCCATCTGTACCCCACCTTCCATCTGCACCCCGCCTTCCAGTCTGTGACCTGACTTCCATCTGCACCCCACCTTCCAGTCTGTGACCCACCTTCCGTCTGCACCCTGCCTTCCATCTGCACCCCGCCTTCCAGTCTGTGACCAGCCTTCCATCTGCACCCCGCTTTCCAGTCTGTGACCCGCCTTCCAGTCTGTGACCCACCTTCCGTCTGCACCTACCTTCTGTCTGTGCCCACTTGCCACTCAGGGTGCCGGGGCTGGGGCTTCAGGGCCTGGGCATCACTCTCCTAGAGCACAGCCTTACTTGTGACCATTCAGCTCAGAAGTGTGGGATCCTCTGCACAATGAGGACAGGCCCAGAGGTTTGCTGATCCACCGAGTGGTGCCTTTTGTGCCTTCAGGAGGAGAAGGGAGCACTGTTCACACAGGGAAAGGGAGCTTCTTGGTGGTGCGTTGGGACTGGCCACCTGAGCTGCAGCCACTGGTTGAGTTTTATTTAAATGAAGTTTTTTGAAACATGACTACTAAATGTAAGAGTGCTTCAATAAGTTTATGGAGAGCGGAATGAAAAGATGGCGGACATTTCCGTGGACTCTGAAACCTCCACATTACGCTTGTGCCTTCTTGTCGGCAGCACTTGTGTGCATTACTGTGTATTGTACTTTTCTGAAACTTTTGGTTTTCCTGAGTGCGTAACGGAGCTCTGTCTATGTGCTGGCGCAGCCGGCCAACGGATGGCTCAGGAAAAATGTCGGCTTGGGAAGAGCCAGGCTGCCATCCTCGGGCAGGAGGCTTTCCAAAAAGCTTGGCATCAGCCCCATGGCAGTGTCTATGCCCCATGTGACCATGTCTCGTGAGGGCCTCTGTGTCCATGTCCAGCTGGAGAGCATGGGCAGGGCTGCCGACTGCACCAGCCAGTTCTCGTGACTGGGACACTCCTGCTGTGGGGCCCTTTCCTCAAATGGGCTGCGGGGCCTTCTTGAACCTCCCCGGCTCTTCTGTCTGTGACAGGAGGACAGAGCTTCCCTGTAGTAAGCTCCTGGTTACAAATGGCCTTTCAGTTAGGGACTCCTGCAGTTTGTTTTTCTTACGAAAAGTGGACTTTGAGCTTGGAGTGGCCAGCACTTGGATCCCTGTGATTTCCTCGGTTTGCCCTCCTGCCGGAGACAGAATTTAGAGCCCAGTTGGGTGGCTGAGGGCCACAGGGATGATGTGCATTCTGTCTTCTGCATTTACAGCCTGACTTAGCTGCCAACGAGTCCCGGCTTCTGAGGAAGATTCAGCTGCTGTGCCTCATGGAGGTAAAGGGTCCCCTTCAGGCCTAACCTTCCACCTCTACGGCTGGACACAAGCACTGGGCAATGAGAGCCTTCCTGGCTGTGCTAAGAGGCTTCCTCCTGCCCCTCTTCTCCCTGTGCCCCCTCCTTTGTCACACGCATGTCCCTCTCCCCTTCGAAATGTTCCTGCTGGCCTGTACCCACCTCCTGCCCCCAGGGCCACACACAGCCTCGCCCGGGCCATCCTGCCAGTGGGAGGAGGTCATTTCCCAGTAACCTTGTTTTGTAACACTGGAAGCCTGTCCCTAGGACATGTAACCAGTATTAAGAAAGTGCTAGCCTGGGGACTTCACAAACAAGCTGAGCTGTATTTTTAGATTAAATATCAAGAAAATGTTATATCAGTCAGCTTTCTGACATTGTTATTTGGAAAAATAGCTCATAAAAGTTTTGTTTCAGATGACTTTCACACGGCCTGCCAACCACAGACAACTGACTTTTGAGGAAATTGCCCAGAGTGCCAAGATCACTGTGAATGAGGTGTGTTCTTTGGGGCTGAGGCACTGGGCTTCCATGAGAAGCATCAAGAGTGGACGTCTGGGTTCCACCAGAGGTCACCCAGGTAGGGGCAGGTAGACACAGGACTCAGCCTTGCCTTGCTCCGCCCACAGGTGGAACTGCTGGTGATGAAGGCTCTGTCGGTGGGACTGGTGAGGGGCAGCATCGACGAGGTGGACAGGCGTGTCCACATGACCTGGGTACAGCCCCGGGTGTTGGACCTGCAGCAGGTAAGCTATGGACGCAGCCTCCTCAGCTGGGCTCCACTCTGATCGTAGTTGTGTTTGGATGGGTGCCATTTAGGAAGAATATATTATTAGGGAAGAGATTTAGAGAAATAATTACTGCTCTAGGGACCAAAGCTTTAATACAAGCCTGGCTTTGAACCCTACATTTAAAAGCTTTGCTGTGACAACAGTGAAGTTGTGAGAGTGGCACCTTTAATCCTAAAATTGGTGCTTTCACCAAACTCGTTTCTGGTTCTGTGATTTGAGCTCAAATCCATCTTGTCCCATGTTTGCTGGATGTTTAATCCAGTGGATTTCCTCTGCTCTGGCCTGGTTTCTTTGTAAATGTCTGATGAGAATTGGCTGGGATAGATACACCTGCTGGCCCCAGTCCAAGCTCTGGTGCACTTTCTGCTGGTGGCGGTGGTGGTGGTGTGCCGTGGAGTTGGTTCCAACTCATAGCGACCTATGTAGGGTTTCTGAGACTGTAAATCCTTAGGGGAGCACACAGCCTCATCTTTCTCCTGCAGAATGGCTGGTAGTTTTGAACTGCTGACTTCGAGGTTAGCAGCCCGACTCATAACGACTCTACTCCCAGTTGCTGTGTCCCAGCTGACACGTGGTCTTTCCCCATAGATCAAAGGCATGAAGGACCGTCTGGAGCTCTGGTGCACAGACGTGCGGAGCATGGAGATGCTGGTGGGGCACCAGGCCTACGACATCCTCACCTAGGGTTCCACCATCAAGAGCTGCATCTCCCGGGTGCCAGTGACTGTCCGTGTGGTGTGGAGGTGCCCAGGTTCACGGGACCCAGCTGTGGGAACGTCTTCCAGTGGGGCCTCAGAGCGCTCCTCAATAAACACCTCTGCTTTGTACTCTTTGTACTTTTTTTGTACTTTTCTTTTTCCTGGGGCTTAGACTCCAGGTCAGGCCTGTGCACAAAAGAACCAGAACCCTAAGGTGGAGCCTGGAGGGGCTCACGTGGTCCTTTCCTTCCCTCCCTGACAGATGACCTGGGGCCCATAGCACCCCACCTCTCCCAGTGACTACAGAGACGCGTGTGGGAGGCTTTATTGTTAAGCTTCAACCTTACTGATACAGCATCACTCGGCCGAGCTCTTCTTGTAGCTCTCCAGGTGGGACAGGACCCAGCCTGCAGGAAGCAGGAAGCTGATGATCATGGTTGTCAGCCCGATGGCTTGCTCCTGTCAGAGGAAGGCAGATGATATCAGTGTGGAGCCGCTGAGGCTGTCTGTCTCCCTGCCCACCCATCCTGAGTGGATTCCTCCCATTGTCCTGAGTAGTGTCCATCTGCCTCCAACTTCTGGGCAAGCTGTGGGCAGGGAGGATACGCCGGGCAGCAGATACGGGGCAGGGGTGCAGCTGCAGGGCCTGTTATCCAGAGAAACCATGAGGGGATTGTGGACCCCAGCCCAGCTTGGCTCACTCCAGCTCCCTGGAGTGGCCACATCCTGCCAGCTGCCCTGTCCCTCCCAGCATGCACCCGGCCTTCAGTGTGTGTGCGCATGTTGTGGGGCCGGTTGAGGTAGCGTTCACAAAGCAGCACAGGCCTCTCTGCCCACCCCCCCCAGCCTGCCCAGAGGGTGGGAGAGAAGCTTGCATTCCTGTGCCTTCCATGGCGTGCTCACGTGTGTGCTCACATGTAGAATCCTGGTGGCACGGTGCTTAAGCACTTGCCTGCTAACTAAACCCACAAGCTGCTCCACAGGAGAAAGGGAGGGCTGGAAACCTTGTGGAGGGTTGTGAGGAGTCAGAATTGACCCAGCAGCATTGGGTTGACTGGCTTTCCCTATGTATGTGTATCCGCCACTAGTCCGTCCGTCTGTCTGTGTCGGACTGTGGTAACTTGAATGTTGCTGTCATGCCAGAAGCCAAGTCACCAGTATTTCAAATACCAACAGGGTCACCCATAGTTGATAGATTCAGTTGAGCTTCCAGACTAGGGCTAAGAAGAGGGAAGAAGTGGTCTACTTCTGAGGGATTAGCCCCCGAAAACCTTGGGATAGCAGCATGGCATTGTCTGATGAGAGTTCTGGAAGATTCACCTTTCAGGTTGGAAGATACTGAAGGTAGACTCCATGAAAACGAGGAAGACTCAGGAGAGAAGGATTAACAATGGCTGCAGCGATGGGCTGAAACCATTGTGAATTCTAGCATGTCGATTGTATGCAAGAATCTACGGACATGTAGGTGTAATCTGTGTGTGTGTATGAGTGTATATGTATATAAAGGTTTCCTGGACCTCTGGTAGCCTAGTGGATTATGAGCTGGGCTGCTAACCACAGGGTCAGAAGTTCGAATCTACCAATCACTCTGGGAGAAAGATAAGGCTTTCTGCTTCCGTAAACACGGACAGTCTCTGAACTCAGTGGCACTTAACGTGTATATAAATGTTTCCATATGTCTGTGTATTTACATGTGTGCTTACAGATGCCTGTGTGTGTGTAAATGTGTGGCTGCATGTGTATGTATATGTGTATGTATGTGAGTGCATGCTTACATATGCCTCTGTATGTGTAAATGTGTGGCTGCATGTGTATGTATATGAGTGCATGATTACATATGCCTGTGTGTAAGTATGCTTGTATTTGCATGGTGTGTGTGTGTATCCTTTGCAGAAATGTGTGTGCCTGAGAGTGGGTATGAGTGTGTGTCTTACACAGAACTGTAGTTTTCAGTGACTCTGACCAGAGCCTGGCCCCTTCCCTGGTTTTCTCTGACCAGAGCCTGGCCCCACCTCCAGCAGAGTCTGTGCCAGGTGGAGAGCAGTCTTAGAACTGTGACCTCGGGCAGTGACCTTCTAGATGGAGGCTTACCAGTGCTGAGGCAGAGACCCACTGAACTGGGCCTACTGGGGTTGAGGGTATGTGGCCAGCCCCTCTGTCCTTATTTACTTTCCAGAAGAGTCCACAGCTTCCCTCCACACAGTGAACCTGGACAACTTCCTCAGACCCTAAGGCCGCCTGATCCAGTTCCAATCCCCCACCCACCCCTGGCCAGGGGCCCTCGGTACCTGGAGGCTACTCACCCCAGCGGAGGTGGGTGTCCTGGCTGGCCTGGTAGAGACGGGTGCCCGGGGGGCCACTTGGCTCTTCAGGGGGACCTGGAGCAGCCGTACAGCGGTGGGGACCCTCAGCATGGTTCTCTGTGTTCTCTGCCTGGAGTGTCCTCTGCAGAATGACCTCTGCCTGAAGACTGCTGCTGGGTTTTTTATAGCTGAGGCGGGAGCTGCAGCTGTCCCCTCCTGTTGCTGTGCTTGGCAGGGACCAGGAGAGAGGCAACCTCAGATGCACCCAGAGCACCATCCCCGGGTGTGACTGGGGCTCAGGGTCTGTGCTGTGGGGACCCTGGGAAGGGCCTTACTTGTGGGAGCTGGGAGTTCCACCAGAGCTCAGTCTGGAGAACGCAGGGCTGACCTTAGAGGGTCCACAGCACTGGTTTGGGGTTGGGCCACAGGGCTGACCTGGGCACCGCCTTTTTCCTCTGTCTGCTGTTATGAGGTAGATTCTGGGTGACAAGGAGGATGGCCCCTCACTGGGGTGGGGGTGGGGGTAGCTCAGCAGGCTTCTCTGCACAGACCCTCATTGTGCATGCCCCATGCAGGTGGGGGCTCCAGGCCTCCTGGGTCATTGTCCAGCAGGTTCCAGCAAGGCTATGTCATGACTAGCTATCCTGACCCCAGGTCTCCCCCTGTCTCCAGCCAGAGCCTCTCACCCGCGCTGGGCCTTCTGAAGAGGCCGGCTGGAGCCCTGTCCTTGTCCCAGGTGACTTCCGAGCCTGTCCCTACTGTCCGCACCCCTCTAGCTGCTCAGACTTCAGCATGAACACAGCTGCCCCG